AGTGGGAAGAAAGGAGGCAAGAACCAGACCCAGTCGGGCACAAAAGTCGTGGAAGGGCTGTTGAAGAAAATTCGTTTTGGATGAACACAAATGGTAGACTTAAAAATTAAATTAGAATTTGAGTTCTTTAATTTTTGATTTTTAATAGAATTCGATTTCGCAATGCTGGAAAGCGAAAAAAGCAGAAAATCGAGTAGAAGGCATCACAGCGCTTTTAAATTTAAGGAAGATAAAAATACGATACTCATAAATATTATGGAGCAGTTTGAAAAGATTTTTGAAAAACAAAAATTTTAAAATCCTAACGTTTTTCTAAATGACGCCAGATGGCCAAAAATCGCAAATTAAGGAATTTTTCGGGTGGACAAAAGTAGGGGAAACAATGTTCCGAGGGCCAATTTGTTGTGCCGGCTCGGGGCACACCACTACCGCACGCACCCATATGTCATCGAGCCAGGTTGTCGGCAGCTGTGTGGTGCGATTGTCACCAAACAAGTTGTTGGCGCGCAGGAGCGATTTGTCACCTCTGGAAGATTTTCGGAAGCAGGTGGTGGGTAACAACTCAAGAAGCAGATTGAGAACAATATTAAGCAGCAAATATGACTAAAAAATGGTAACCGTAAAGGATTCTGGAGAGTGGGATGGGAATAGCCTTCGAACAGACATTGCATGGATTATGTATGTGGTAAGAGTTAGTAGGAGGAGGCATAGACATCGGCGACGGGGCGACAACACGGAGAGGAGGGTGTGGAAAACATCGCTCTCGTCGACATTGGCACTGCAAACGCGATTTCGTCATCTCCGACAACCGCAAAGCCAGCAGAATTGACCTATTTTTAAGCAATTTTTCTTATGTATGGACGTATGGACGAGTTGATGAAGATGGACAACTTGTCCACGACTAGTTCTTGCTTGGTGTTTGACGCTCAAACTGCTGTTTTTCCTCTTCGATGTGAAGTATGATGAAATGTAACGCGGAACGTATGAGAGTAATGCACTTGTAGGTTT